ACATCGGATTCTCTTATAAAAATTCCTATCATAATATCCCTAACAAAAGTTCCTATGGTACCTCCTCCTGGGCATTTATGCCGTATTATGGAGTGGATCTCATCAACTTGAAGGGGGATATGATGAATAAAATTCCCTAGGGAGCTTCCTCGTAAGTTAATTGACTAAAATTCCACAATAAACCAACGGCTTAAGAGGTCTCTTTCACTACTGGTATAATTATATCTTAGCTCAAAGAGAGGCATTGATAGAGGCCGGCACGTAAGCATTAGAAGTAATGTTAGATAAATTCTTTAAAAAATCCTTTGAATGGCAAACGTTCTCCATCATAAAGTTTGTTAAAAGTAAATATGAAACAGATAAGTACCCCAGTAGGAGCCTGTATATAGGGTATTTTACTTGTTAGCCTTCCTTTAGAATTGCTTTACACTGGGAGCGGATAACGAGCACTGAAATGCTTAACCTAATTGTCCCATTAATATACCATCTAAACCTGATTTAAGCAGTTTCAAAAAATAGTAACGGAAAACTGAAACAGAGGCTTGAATTTAACATGCTCTGTTGGCTGATACCTAAGTTTGCGAAGATATGTAGGAAAATTATTTTTGTTTCGTTGTCTGTTAATTCTAATACAATGCGACATGCATGGTATTTTCCTTAAGGTCATGACGAGAGGTTTGAATCACATGGCCAATTGTTACCTCGTTCCAAATATTCGTGGAGTTGGCTATTTGTGTAAGACAAATATTCCTTCAAATACAGCGTTCAGGGGTTTTGGTGTTCCACAGGTGAGACAAAAGTTATCTTCTGTACCATTCTGATTTACTCAAAAGTTTGGAGTTTAACTACTAAGAATTGCTCCAAGTGCTCAAGAACGGATCAGGTAGACGTCGAGCGGGAATGCTGAGTAGTCCATTGTATGCCAGTGAACAGCATCTTAAAACTTGTACTCACTGTCCTCATGTTGGTATAACATGTACGCTCACTTGCTATTATGAAGTGGTCAAGGACAAACTGACTGATCTCCCCAAAAGGAGTCGATCGCGCCTGATTTCACTATGGTCTTCTCTTAAGCATCGCCACCACTGGGAATTAGGTCAATTAGGTTTGTGTCATGACGTCAAAATGAGTAGCAATAATTACCTTTGAAAGGAGATCCCTTCTAAATAACTTCATAACCATGCTTTTCATTGATTTTAGCCTGTTCCAGGCTCCAAGATGGTAGTAGCCTGCGTAGCAAGCGTTTCCAGTCGAGTTGTTAGAGCGGGAGCTAAAAAAAAGAAATAAAATGAAAGGGGGAGGGGGAGGGGGGAAGAGGAAACGCTTGCCCGCAAACCCCACGATTCTGGAAAACGCCCCTTGATATTTCACGACAGCTCGTCAAGGTAGATAACGAATAGATTACCAGATTTGAAAAAATTACTTTGTTCCCTAAAACACCCTCCATGCGATTGCAAAACTGTAATAAAAAGAAGTTTTACTATAAAAGAAGGTTGAAACTCTAAGCAATTGCTGCGGAATTTCTTATTCTTTATAGTTGAGTTAAAATTTTCACGTTATGTGGCTTTATCTCATCTGAAACCTTGTCAAAACGTCGCAAAGAAATGATTCGTCTGGAACAATTCACTCCACCGGCTATGAGTTTTGCAGAGCAGCTGCTCTCCATAGGCCAGCCAGTGTCGAAAAGTTCACTACAATATATGCCGCTCAATTTCCAATCACTTGTCCATGGCGGCTCTAGCTAGTGTCTAGTACTCGATGTTCTGATTTACATTGATGTTATCTCCAGCAAACAGTCCATTTTTTCCAGTCAGATACACACCCTGTCATTCGAAAGAAGTCTCCACTGCTCGATCTCCAATCGTACTTTTGATCGAAGGGACCCAGATCTGATAAACCTTCGCACAAACATGATTCAAATAAATATCAGACCAAAGCATTTGTAATCTGCGAACACAAATCAGATCAGACCAGATCTGCAGCGTACGTAAACGAAACATACCTGGTTTGATTGATGTATTGATTGCTATTTAATCAACACTACCAGCACCGCACCAATCAAAAACTGCGTTCGTGGGCGAACGCAGTTTTTCAAAATCGTGGGGTTTGCGGGCAAGCGTTTCCTTCGCTCCCTTCCCCCTCCCCCCTCATTCCTTTTTTTTTCGCTCTCGTCCCAACTGTCTCGACGAACTAGCGTGGAGACGCTTGCTATGCAGGCTAAGATGGTAGTGGAGTCGTTCAGTAACAAGTGATGCGAGAAACGCGCGAGGGCTAGAGAGAGACTGTTTTGTACTCTGCGTAATAGCCCATTTAACAGCTATAGGTGAAAACGAGGTTGGAGTTGACGTTGTTTTGGTACAAACCTTCCTGATTATTATGCAAATTATGTTGTTCTTATGCTAAGCTTTTGCTAAGCATAATTTCCATGAGAAAAGGAAAGAGGTTTGTATCAAAACAAGGTCAAGCTCAGCCTCACGTTCACTCAAAGGCTAGGATGCTAAGCCCACAACTGTAAAACGACCAATTAAACGGTAAAGCGTGGTCTTGTTAAAATAGCGCTTACAACTACGAGAACATAAACTCCCACGAGGACATAACTATGTAAGCAAACACTCGGCATTATTAGGGTCAAAACAAAAACCATCAAGATAGAGAAGAATAGGGTGCCAAGTTATTTTGACTCTCGGAGACTACAGTGTTCAAGAGTGTACATAAAACACTTTACAGTGTATGGAATAAACCTGTATATGAGTTCAAAAACTGGTATATCCAATAGACCATTTTTGTGGATTTGGTACCCCAGCCTTCGAGTGAATGTGAGGCTAAGGTTGACCTTGTTTTCATACAAACCTCCTTTGCTTTGTTATGGAAATTGTCCTTGAAAAATACTAGTTAGCATAAGAACAACTTGATTTATATAACAAAGCAAGAAGGCTTGTATCAAAATAAGGTCACCTCCAGCCTCGCTTCTATCCGTAACTGTAAAAATGGCCTATTCAGATAGGGCCATCTTTTCCGCCCGGCGCCACCTCCTTTTTCAGATTGCATGCGTCTCTTTTTCTTTTCAAATGCTTGTTTTATTTACGAAGTTGATATGTCCATTTTAAGGAGCCCGATTTTTTGTAAATTTAATGCAATTTTTATACTTTTACAAATGTATACTAATGGTGACAAATTTGTAGTCTATGGTAGTTACTGAATCATGGATATCAGATATTGCTACCACATGTGGGATTTCTCAAAAAGAGGTATGTTGTCCCACTAGAACTTCACACAGCATTAAAACAATGTTCTATATTTGCATCATTGCATTTCTGTTTGGGGTACAAAATAATATGCAAATGCATTTTTTTTCCGCTTTTCAACAAACAGGCTACTAAATCAAATATATATTAGTACGACCAATCAAATCCGGTTACGAAGTGTTTCGGAATCGTTGCGAATCCTGAAAAAAAAAAAACTCGTCTAGTGTAGTCTTAGGCTAAAGCATAACTTACAATTCAAGAGGGTGAAAAAAGGTGGAAATTTGCGATTATGAATAAAATTATTTCCTTCTTGCTTTACTTAAAAAAAAAAAAACGTATTAGACAACTCGGAAAGTTAATTTTGTCAGTTTGCAAGGTTAATTTAGTTTTCAAAACAGGTCCGAGAAGTCAACCTTGTCCAAGAAGGGGATTCAACTCATTTTGGCCAAAAACTGACTGACTGTCACATTCAACGCGTGTGGAGCGAGCTGCTACAGAAATGTGACTACGAGGGACGGAGGCAGCAAGTGGATTCTTATAACAGGTCAGCCACTCAAACGATATCCGGAACAATAGCCATGTTATCAATTCTCATTTCCACACTGATATCATGCCATCTTGTGGATTTGATGGGAAGAATCTGTTTAAACCTATCCCTCCTCCTAGTAACGGTGGCCAAATTTAATTTATACCTTTTTTATTGTAAAAGTTCTACCAGATTTCGCCCAAGAACCCAAAACTCAGAATGATAATGCATCTCTCTTTAATTTGGTCTTAGAGGAGCCCGTTTCTCGAAAGTCCCAGTAACTTTTAGGGCTTGGAAAGCTGTTTTATGCTTGCCGTGCTAATACCGTGTTTGTATTGAAGATCAAAGTTTCAATAATTTTGAAAATGATACAATGAAAATATCAGTTAATGGAGTAAAATTGTATTACATGTCCTACTTATTACGGTTTATTATAATTATGCGCTGTTATTAGGTCGAATCGTTGGAGAAAACGGGGAATAGCACTAACACCCACTATGCTGGGTGTGGGATTTTATCCTCTCTTCTGCAATAATCAGGTATGAGACATTGAAAAAGGGGAAAATGTTGATCAGCCTTAGTTAACTTGTAATATGCACACCAGGTGTTTTAAGAGAGTGAAAGCTAATCGCTCGTTTTGCGCGAGCTTCACTGGTAACCGATTCAATATCGTATTATTTTCAAGATTCTGCTCCTCGTTTATAAATCACTGAATGGGACATCGCCTAGCTATTTAGCTCAAGAAACTACATTATCGTTCTCATACTAGATCACTGAGGTCTGTTAGTAATGAACTTTTAATGCAACCTATATCGTATACCAAGACCTACGGAGATAGAGCATTCGCTGTTCATGCACCAAGAGAATGGAACTCCGAACCCTATGAAATTCGGAAGTCCAACACCATCTCGAGTTTTAAAAGATCACTTAAGACGTACTTGTTTACTAAATTCAGTAACAACAGATCATCGTTTCTATAGATTTGTATATATTGCGTTAGTTTTAATTTTTTCCTTTTTTAATCATTATGAATAAAATAGTTTAATAGTTGCTTTAGTTTTAATTTTTTCATTGTAAATATAATAGGATATGGTTGTAAATTTGTAAATATTTATCAATAATGTTGTGTACATGACTGTAAAGCGCCTTGAACATAGGATAAGAGCGCTATAGAAATAAAGTTATTATTATTATTATTATTAGTTAGCTCAATTGGGAGAGCGCCGGTTAGCTTAGCGGCAGATCGTGGGTTTAAACCCCGGCCGGACGACCCCTCAGTGTCTTTTTGAATTAAAATAACTGAGAATGAAGTGCTGCCTTTGTAATGACATCTGCAAATGGTTAGACTTTCTAGTATTCTTGGATGAGAACAAAAAAAAACCGTACGTCCCATCTCACAGGACTTTCACTTATCTGGCTCTTGTGGGACGTAAACTATACCCACACCACTGTTCGAAAAGAGTGGGGGACGTAGACCCCGGTAGTGTGGTTATATCCTTCCCTGGGATGGGTGGGTTAGATCGTAATGTGTAGTTCCAAAAAATATCCACGGGGGGCACTTTTCCTTTAGATCCCCACTTGTCATCCCCCCCCTTGGAATTTCCATAATTTTCCAACTTGGTTAGGTTAACCCTCTGGAAAGGACATTTGTGTAAAGTTGTTGCACTATACCTTTATTGCGAAAGATAATTTTTTATTCGATAAAATGAGAAAAAATCTTTTTATTTATGTTCAGGTACGGTGTCTAATGAACACAAGGACGTTCTTAGCTAATAATTAACCATAGAGGGCGATACCTTGCACTACTGATTACACAAATAATGTCATCTGCAAAAGAACCAGTTACATTCAAACTAAACACCACCTCTTCCCTCGGATCGACTTCCCACTTATCTCTTCTCCACTCCTACAACATTGTGTCACTATTCTCATTCGTATAAAAGCCGCTGCGTGACGATTTAATCAACTAGTTTGTCCCTTGAATTGTCAATTGGTCCTTTACGGTCCAAAAATTCAAGGCCTTTTTACGCCCTAGCAAACAAATTCACCGTTTCTCGCAAGTCTATTTCTTCAGGGCAAGTTTCATTCTTCCGCAACGAGACCAGCGCCGCTGAACCTTTCATCGGCTCGTCCGTGTTTAACCAACCCAGCTGATGCGGTAAACCTTCGACAGAGCCTTAACCATCAACCTAAGTATCATGTTTTAATTTCTCGCTTCCCCCTTTTCTTGTCAATTTGTTACATACGTGGCGTTTATCTTTTTCACCATTCTGTTTTGGAGTTTGTTTACGTTAACGCTTTTAGGCGTCTGTGCAACGTACCAGAGGTAAGGCGACCCTTATTTGATTATTGTCGCGTCTTTTGCGTCTGTTACAGTAGAACGACAACGAGCCCGAAAATATTTACGTTGGCGCTTCATGGCGTCTGTGAAACGTAAAGGAGAATCTCAACGGTGCAGTTAACTATGCCGTTTACAAATAAGGTGCCAAAAAGGGTACCCGCTCACCAGTGTCACATGACTGTATGGCGGGCTCAGTTATACAAGTCACTGGGGTGGCAAATGATATTGGTTTTCAGCTGATCGCGGGTTCAGGTCCATTTTCATTTTTGAATTCACTTTCAATTTTCAGTTTGCTTTCTGCTTACGGCAAAAGTTGAATCACTTGAGAAAGACATTTCTTAAAAGATCATTCGAGAGTTTCGCTGTAGGCCTTGGCTTAATCTATATATCATATTTGTGACGAGTGCCAAAGCGTATAATTTGCAATTGCTTAAACTGCAATTATCACCGTGACGATCATATCTTCATTTAAATTTTGTATTTTTGCAGTTCACATCGTCTTCAGTCTACGTTTCATTACTTTCATGGGTTAAAATGATCTCAAAAAATTTGGCCTGGTGGAGCACTGCAGCTCTAACGCAGAGGCCATGCGTTCGAATCCCGTTGAAGTCACGAAATGTTTGCGGGCTAATTGCAAATTCTTAAATTGCATTTAATTCTTCTATTTGTTATTAACATTAGCAATACGTAATGTTTTCGATGTGAATATACAGTATTACTATGCTATTAATAATCACAGGAGTTCAGGCTTCAGGAGTAATCATTGATCGTTTATTGCGACAGTGCTGTTTCGTATGGTCCGAGATTTTAGGACCACACTCATCAGGCTACTTTCGTTTTCAGACCAAAACGGCGCAAAGAACCCTACCCTTAGGGGCTGCACATACCTACATGGCTTATATAGGGAGTACCCCCACCTCCGTCTCCTACTGAAGAATTGAGCAGCACCTTCATTTAACACTGCTAATTTTGAGTATGTAGATGAGATTTTAAACAGTGAGACCTTTGAAATGAAAGCTACGGTGAGCGACGCTTTTATGTGCTGTTCTTCGTCATACTCAACAATGTTTGCCTATCACGTTTGCATGAGTCGGTGGACTTAATCTAATGGCATGACCATTCAAATAAACCACTTGAATGCCCAGGGGCGGGGCGGGGGAGAGGGACTCAGCATGTGAAAGGGGTGGGGATGTTCGTCGTCTCGCTTAGGGGTGTAAATTTCGGATTTTGGTCTCACTTAGGGTGTTCTGGGCAAAACGCCATCATATTTAGACTTGAAAGTCTCGTTTAGGGCTGCACGCGAAAAAAGATATAATTGTCTGTGTTTTAACATGGTCTCTTTTAGGGGGTCTCTTTCCGGGGTTTAATTCAAAATTTCCGAGGAGCATCCCCAAGGATAAGGAATATTTGTTGAATTCCGTGTTTGGCACAGAGACTTCAGTTTAGTGTTGTGTTTTGTGTTACCAGGCTGGAGCCTTGGTTCATGTTTATACAGACGGATCAGTTCTTGTCACTCACGGAGGAACAGAAATGGGACAAGGACTACACACTAAAATGGCGCAGGTGGGTCGGGCTTTTAAGGCTATGTCTACAATGTACTGGATAGCTTTTTCCGTCATGCCGACGTGAAAAGCTATTGATAAACGATTCTTAAAGATCTGCCGGAGAATTTCTTTGAAAACGGTTCTCCAGGCAAAAAAGAACAGGCAGGCATCAAAATAAACCTTGTACCTTAATGTAAAGACAACAAAGCCATAAAGTACGCTTCACACAATTCATCTTGTAAATTGTGCTCGGGACTGCGTTTTTCTGACGTAAAACTCGTTTTTCTGCAGGTAGCAGGGAGGAGTTTGCGCATACCCACATCGAAAATTCATCTCAGTGAAACAAGCACCAACACCGTTGCTAACACTTCCGCCTCGGCTGCTTCAGTGTCAGCTGATCTCAACGGCGTGGCCGTGAAGGTATGAGTGAACAGATTTCTTTGATTTTTTCCACTTCATATTCGCCTTTCATCTGTACGTTACGCTACGAGAATTCTCTTTCTTTAAAGAGAAGGAAAAAAAATCTGTGGGCAAAACGAAGGGAGTGGTGAGCAGCAAGGCAGAAATGATTTTTCCTCAGTTAGAATAGACAACGGGAATATGTCTTTGGAAGTTAAGTCTCAAATATTATCGGCCGGTTCTGCAGACGTACGATCTTGAGGTCCCTCATTTTTCCGTGCTTGTAGATTGCGTGTGAGAAAATACTTGATCGACTCAAACCTTACCAAATGAAGAATCCCAAAGGAACCTGGGAAGACTGGGTGCGCAATGCGTACCTGGACCGTGTCAACCTCTCTGCAAATGGATTCTACAAGTAAGACAGCACTTAGCACTGTTGGGACTATCCATATTCTATCTTAAATTTCTATAGTTTAACACTATCATTGTCATCATCGTCATCATGTTTGACTGATGTTACCTACAATCGAATCTCGTCCGTTAAGCGGCCACCCTTGGGGTACCGGCAAGTAGCCGCTTAATGAACGTTGGCCTCTCAATGGAGGTTCGTTATAAATTAGCATAATCTTTAGCAGAAACATCACTTTATATTGAAACAATAAAGCAAGGCGAGCAGCATTGGTCCACAATCGGTCGACACCCTCTATCTCGGACCACTGTATTTTCCTTCACCATATTCTTGAAATAAAGGAAAACTAAGTGTATCAGGCGCCTGATGGTCGCCTAATAGAGGTGAGAACAATGGAAGAATTCTCAATGGAACGTTAAAAAGGTGTCGCGGCCGCTTAATAGAGATTTAAGTTCCCTTTGTTTTCTACAATTATTTCGGGACTTCACGTGATTAATGGCCGCTTAATGGAGGTTCAACTGTACAATGGAACCTTCATGTGTGATCACCTCTCGGAAGCGACCGCAACGATTTTTTTGCGTTAACATTTTTATAGTTTTCAACTTGAGGAATGGTCTGATCTCTTTGCTTGCTGAATGTGCTATACAGAGTATACGAAGAACCATTCCTGACAAGTTGAAACCACACATATCATAACTTAGAAATTGTATGCAGAAAATTTTCTTTACGAACGTCTGCGTGGGAGGCTAAGATTTGTCAGGACCTCTCCTCCGAAGGGACCCGTGTGGGTTGCTTCTCGTAAACGACCACACCCCGTGAATGACCACTAAATAGGGAGTTTAAACAGGGAAGTTTTTGAGCGACGCATCAAAAGTCTATTACCAATTGCTTACTCTTGTAGAGACGATTTGCCCAAAAATTTTTTCAAAATCAGCGCTTAAGAGTACAAAAAGTCCACTTCCGGTTGACGAGCGTAGCTCCTGCTTAAACTCCCTTATCTTCACATATTGGGTAGTCTCTTACGTGAGATTCGACGTTACTTTGAATTATTCACACTTTTATATGCATGTTTTTTTTTTTATAAGGACACCTAATGTAGGTATTGGAAAGCGGTGTTATAACTATTTTTGTTATGGTGCCGCGTGTTCAGAGGTGGAAATCGACTGTCTTACTGGAGACCATCAGGTGTGGAAAAATTCGTTCTTCTTATAGATCATTTTCACATGACAACACGGCGGCCACATTTGTGTACAAAACAATGAATCTGCGGCCATGTTTGTGTACAAAAAAAAATTAAAACCCTGTGGGAATTGAACTCTTTTCACATGTTAAAACTTTCTTTTATTCCAAGCAATTTGCAAAGCTGCTGACCACGTGACTGAAAACGATCTATTATAATGTCCATAAGGTTCTACTTCATTGCAAGCTGACGCCTACCATAATATAAAAATTTGACAATTTTTTTCAGTTTACTTACGAGCCACTAAACAAAAAGGCATTTAACTGACAGAAATCGCCTCTTGTAAATATAAGACAATCTGGATTCTGGAATTCGGGAGTTGTGCTCATGGAATCCGGAATTCAGCTCAAGGAATTTGAAATCCCGTTAGTGATTGGGATCCGGAAACCAGAATCAAAGACCGTCTTGGAGTATACCGTACATGGCGCTGAAGAGATGAAAGCTATAGCTTTATCAAATTCTCTTTACGTTATGCAAACCAGTGACATGGTAAATTGCTGTAACATGTGGATCCTGTTAGTTAAAATTAGTTAAAGAGAAATTGTGATAATCATGGAAGAAATGTCACTGTTACGTTTTCTTTGACTGTTGCTGTTAATTTGTATGGTGAAGGTTCTCCGTACAGATATTGTGATGGATGTTGGTGACAGTCTAAACCCAGCTATCGACATTGGGCAGGTCAGTGTCTAACACTCCTAAAATTCTTCGCGGAACACCCTCGTAAGTTAAATGACTAAAATTGCATTAAAAGTCTACTGGTAGAATTATATCTTAGCTCGAAGGGAGACATTGAAAGGAGGCATTTGGGGAGCAAGGGTGGCGCAGTGGTGAGAGCGCTCGCCTCCCACCAATGTGGCCCGGGTTCAAATCTCGGCGTCGACGCCATATGTGGGTTGAGTTTGTTGTTGGTTCTCTCCTTTGCTCCGAGAGGTTTTTCTCCGGGTACTGCGGTTTTCCCCTCTCCTCAAAAAGCAACATTTCCAAATTCCAATTCGATCAGGAATCGGGTAGACGTAGAACCACTTTGTGGATGACCTACCTCCAAAATTATTATTATTATTATTATTATTATTATTATTATTATTATTTATAGAGGCCGGAACATAAGCAGTGGAAGAGGGATTAAATAAATAACGAGAAATCCTCTGAGTCGCAAACGTTTTTTATCGATCCGATATATTTATAAATTAAATCAATGGAAAAATTTTAATCGAAGAATTTCAAATATTGTTTAGGAAAAAAGGTAGATAAACACACCGCAGATTTCCCGGTCCGTCTCTCTTCTCATCCTGATTTATAACGACCTTTTTTTAGGTTGAAGGTGGTTTTGTACAAGGCATGGGCCTGTTTACTCTTGAGGAAGTGCGTTTTTCACAGACTGGCGTTCCATGGACAACAGGCCCTGGGGCCTACAAGATTCCAGGATTTTCAGACATTCCACTCGAATTTTACGTTCATCTTTTGCAGAGCGCGCCCAACAAGCACGCGATCTACTCGTCTAAGGTTAAGCAGCATACACCATTTAAATATGTTCTCGATTTGAGAAGAGTTTGTTTTGAAGACTTTAAGGGTTGGTCTTTTAAACGAAGACTAACTTAGACGGCGGTTTAAAAAATCTTTGGACCTCCATCTCTCTCCTTCAGTGTGTCAATTTTAAAAGATAAATGCTTTTTTAGTCTACACTATATGCTTTACAAATGATACGGTGTTTTGATAAAAGCGTTGGGCAAACTAAAAATGACTCAGAAAGCGGTTTTGTTCAACACTGGTTAAAAAAACCGTTTTAATAACCGACCCTAAGTACTTGCAGCTCAAATATGATTTTATTAATGCTCTTGTTCTAAGACTGGCCAATATTGATTTTTCTTCTAACCATAAATTATTATTTCATAATCAAGAATTAGGTCACTCGAACTTAATTCATGGGTCGACCAAAATTAGGTATGGAGGACGTAAGTGATTCAAATTTCGATGTTTTCATGTGCCAAGAGAGGTAAACGCCCAGTCTAGACCTGGAATTAATCGGTAGCTTGCTGGCTCCCGGGGAAGTCCGCGAAATTTTAATCAGTGTTGTCAAGAGAGAATTCAACAGTAGCCATTTACAATACTCCACATTGTTTGCTTTGAGGCAGTCGCACGTGGACTTTTTTTGTCGTTTCAAACAATGGATAAAAATTTGCGGACGTCTCAGGAATAAGAAACCCGTTTTAATTATAGCCTCTAAAAATAACTCAAGTGAAATGCACAAATTCCGGCCAACGTCTTGATTCCCTCTCTGTTTCATTATTCACTCTTGCATGTACTGTAGTATCCCTCGCAGCCACTTTTGTCTCGTCACACAACGCTCCGTTGGGAAGGAGCGTTGCGTGACGAGACAGCTGCGAGGGAGACTAGAATGACAGGTAAAAGGGGAATTTTTTGATATGTCACAACAATGTGACGTGTCCTCGAAGGGAAGGGGGGGGGAGGTCAACAAGGTTGTAACTTAGCTGTGGTTAGAAACTAAATTTGATTGCTCTCTTCTATTCAGGGCCCCGGGGAAGCCTCTCTATTTCTTGGTGCTTCAGTCTTTTTCGCCGTTAAAAATGCCATTACCGATGCAAGGTAAATCCGACGTTCTCCATGCATGTGCAGTATTTATTATTTAGCGGTTGCTTAATTATTATGACCCTAGCGACAAGTGTTAATCTGTTGGGGTCTCGACATTCTCCATACATTTGTTAACAGAATTTTGAGACCACGCCCGGTATAAGATGAAAGGAGGTGTCAAACGGTCCCTACATCGACATCATCGGTACTGAAACAATGTTAAGTGACAGTCACGTTTGATCTTAATAAGCCCTGATCAAACGTGACTGCCATTTACCATATATAGTTTGCCACTGGTGTTAATCTTCTTCGCTTTACTTCCTTGTAAAATTTAGAGTAACAAATTTCATTGTCCGTTTACAGGCGTGAAACAGGTATTGAAGAAGTCTTTAGACTGGACAGCCCTGCTACGAGCGAGCGAATCCGAATGGCTTGTGTAGATAAGTTTACTCAACAAGTAAGTGATTCAAGACCAACCGTGCTAAAACTCAACATACTGGGAAAATTAAAATATCGAAAGTTGGGAGGGTCTCTATAGAGCCAAATAGCAAAAGGTCGGGTTACATCTCGTGTGTGCGAACCGTTTTAGGAACCGAAACCTACGCTGTTCAAACATGCGATTCGCGTAGACAAGAGGTGCACATGTAGGTTAACCCGATGTGCCTGTACGTGCGTTACACATGTGAATTCCATACTACCCAGTAACGCTGATCAGTAGCTCTACATCTTGCAAAAACAGCATGACTCAAAAAAACTGATTGCAGAGCAAAACAACCCGGGGAAACTTCGTTTGTCTCATGAAAGTATATAACAAGGTCCCTTTTCGTTGTTTTTTAGTTAACCCATTTGCCCCCGGAAATTTTGCCGAAAACGCGTTTTGAAGCTAGTCGAGCTGTTTTCTGGTCACCGTGCTGCTGTAGAGAGCTAAAACCTACCATAAAGCCATTTGCAGATTTAGAGATCGTACACTTCGCGGACTTCTGATCCAGATGCAAAACTTTAGCTTAGTTTTTCAAAATTTGTATTTAAAAGTGATACAGCAGTCTTGACCTTTAGTTTTCGCTTTCTCGATCTCGCCTCCCCTCTTTTTGCGCTTTTTTTGTCTCATTGTTTTTCTTTTGCTGGGCATTTAGTAGTCTTCATTTTGGTGGGAAAAGTTTTAGCAAAGCTTTTAGGATCTTAGAATTAGATGAAAGGAAAGGTGGGTAGTGGAACAAGATTTTTATGCTCATTCTGGTTTGGTTTGAAAGATCTCACTCTGCACAAGTCAACGGACAAAGTTGTCCTTGACCATTAAAACTGATGACGTTAAAAGCGGTAGGAAGGACGTGGATCTGCACGTGCGGTTACGGGCGGCTCAGGGGCGAATGGATTAATGTGGTTATAAATACAGTTGTTCATACCATTTCCTTACAGATTCAGAAATGAGAGAGAATACATTTTCTTTATATCGCAGAAACAAAAGCCGAAAACGATAAATACTGTGAATAAAAATCGATAAACGATCGTGAATTCTAATTGAATGTTCTCAAAAGGCTTCTCAGTGAATGAAGTGCAGGAATGTACCCTTTCTGAAGGTAGCCTGTGTTGTACTGAGGCGTTTAAAAGGCCGGAAAGAAAGGGCGCGCCCGAATTCCCTTCCCCTTGTCTTTCGCACGTCTGTCAGGTAGGAGGTAGGCTATGTCTGCTGGCAATGATGATGTACAGGCTAGGGGCCCGTTTCTCGAATGGCCCCGAAACGTTTCGGGCCCGAAAGCAAATTTTAAAAGCAAAACCGGTTGAATAGAAGCACAGATCCTAGCTCATTTACCAGACGATTTTGCTTCGTCGAGATCACTTTATCTTATCATTTTCAAAATCATTGAAAATTTGATCGTAAATGCAAATACAGCTAACACAAAACATGTTCCGGGCTCAAAACGTCACCGGGACTTTCGAGAAACGGCCCCTTGTTAGACGTCTTGAAGCCATGTTCGTTTCGAGGAAATGGTAACCAAGAAAACAACAAATAAACAAACAAACAAAGAACGTTTAGCCTGATTCACATACTCGGGAAAATACTCCCAAAACATCACTCACCAGCCATTTCCGAACGCCATCTGTCGCATTTTTTTATTTTAATCTCGAAGAAAAATTTCTTTTATATTGCAGTTTACCTCAGTTGCGGATCTCGGAGCAAAAGACTTCAACGTTTATCCTTGAAGCAAGGATCATTGCTGGTTAAAAATTGTCAGACATTAAAAATGAAGATACTTTTGATTTTTTCTTTAAAAGTTTTAAAATATTATTTAAAACCAGATCATAGCGGAGCTCCACGCGCGCGCAAGCGAAGCCCCATACCTACGAAAATGTGGTAATCTACCCATCCGACAAATTTTGGTAATCACGTGACCGTCCGCCCGTCCGCCAGTCCGTTTGCACCACAGGTACACTAAAGTAAAATAGCTCAATCAACAGGTATGGCAACCCAAATGCAACTCTAGGTTATTTTGGCGGGAAATCGCATAGCCATCCGCGTCTTGTGAAGCAGAGACAACTAAAGACGGTATCGTGCTGTCTAAAGTATTAAGAGTAGATTAATTGTAATTTCCATAAATTTGGAATATAGAGAAAGGGAAAGACAGAGAAAAAGAGAAAATAGGCGACAGGCCAGCGGACCTTAACGAGAAAAAGAGCGACGGAGAGCTAGAACGAGAGATAAGGAGCCATTTTTTGTTGGAAGAAGAACTTAAATTAGTCGCGGCGGTGAGAAAATGAGAAATGGGCTGCTAAGCACGAAAGAAGCGTAAGAGTTGCACGAGGCGATAGTCCGGGGGCCAGGGTTAACCCCAAATATACAACAAACTCAATTGAAGGTCAAAGCACCAAGTCTTACTTTGCAATCCTAAGAAAGCCCCTGGGTTAGAGTCAAGCCGGGCCCTTAGATTTCCTAGGGGAGCCAATTACCTAGGTCACGTGATGAAAAATCGTTCTCTGAAAATGGCGTTTTATAGCTTAAAAACCCGACGTCTCTATCTAAAACGAGTACTCCACATTTTTACACGACCTATTTTGCCTAAAACGAAAGCATATAAAATTTTCAAATTTTCAACCAAAACCATGGACAAATGCAAATTTTGCCTCTTTCCTAGCATGATGCTTTTATAGTGTAGAAAAGGTTCGTTTTCCGTCCAGAACGTCACCAGACACATTTTCACGACTTATATTGCCCTTAAAAGAAGGATTGTAAAAATTTCAAAGTTTTTGACCAAAAGCATGGACTAACCCTATTGGAAAAATGCAAATTATTGGTGTTTTTATCGTCTAACAAGACAGCCTTGGATTCTGGATTCTGGATTCTGGATTTGACGCCGTGGATTCCGGATTCCCAGCAAATAGGTTTCAGTCATTGTCAGTGAAACTTGGATTCTGGATTCCAATCTTCAGAAGGATTGCGGATTCCTTGAGCTGCTATTCCCGATTTTATACTACTACATGAGAAATTTCTGCAATTTGATTGGCTTAGAGCAGTGGTTTTTCAGCTTAATTTGAAATACCTACATGTGAAAATTACAAACCTTTTGCTGGTAGTAGTATAAACAAATAACAGCATGATTTGTACGTGATATTTGGCATAAATACCGCTCGTGATATTTCAAAATTGTCTCAAATTTAACAATTTTGAAATATCACTCGTGGTATTTGTGCCAAATGTCACTACGAATCATGCTATTACCTGCACTCACAAGCAAAAATTTCTTGGATTCTGGAATCCAGATTCCATTATAGCTTTCTTTCTTCACGATTTGCACAGTGCATACCATCTTCAAGCTTTTTGCTTGATTTTCCCGTCTTAAATACATTTTTCAAACGACTTCACTTTCCCTTGTAGTTCACTCAATTTCAGTGCTGTCTACCCCTTTTACCTACTTTTCCAGTTTATCAAACTTCTCTTCTACCTCGCCAAGCTTCTCAAGGATCATTTCTAATTTCGGCATAATGCTTCCTGTCATGTTGAAGGCTTTTGTAATCAGGACTCTTCTTCAGACGACGTTGAAATTATAGTTTCCATGTCTTCCTTTTGAACTTTTCGCCATAAACGAAAGTTCCAAGACGCAGTTCACAAAAACACTACACTTCAGACATCTTGCCCGACCCAGTCCCCTCATTCTTTCGGTGTTCGAAAAAGCTTGTATACCTAGAATATATAAACCAAAAATCTTTTCTACGCTTCTTTTGAACCTTTTCCAAAGCCCAACACGGTGATTTTATAAAATCAATACATTTATAGCCTGCAAATAACCAGCAAACATCATTTCTGGGACTATTTTGACGAAAATGAATGAGGAAGGAGGAATTTTTCAGGTTTTTGACCAAAATCAAATATAGCGACTTTGTAAAAGCGATATCTTTCTGGCCTGGAGAGTATTGCTTTATATCATGTTTATCACCAATCATCATATCAAAGAACATTTTAACCAAAAATGAAGAGAGAGGAATTGTTTTATTTTTGGACCAAAATGGTCCAAAAATCGGGTGTAGCGACTTTGTAAAAACAATATCTTTAAAGTCTGGAGAGGATTGTTTATATCAAGTACATCACTTTATATAAACACCAATGAAATACCAAGTGAGCTTTTGCACGAAAATTTGATATCTTCACATGTGAAAATATCATCATTGCTATGGCTTCATAATAAACTGCACCTTTCAGACCAGAAAACTATTTAGGTAAAGTTGTTTGGCGTTTCGTCGGTGTTTATATACTAAATAGAACATTACATGGTCGCTTGGAGATACGAAACAACTTTGCACGTGCAGCACACTGTTTTTGTACTTTTCGGTTTTTGCCTTTGTTTTGCACGACTACAACTTGTTACACGTCGACGTTTTATAGAGGAAATGTTGCATGTGTTCCTGTTCACTTTTTACTCCTCTGACGCTCATTTTCACCTTGGTGGCTGCTATAGTATTTCTCCGATTTTGCAACAGCGCTATAGAATTCTCAGCGAAATTGGTCTCCGTTGTTTTTTTATTTCTTGCTCTAGCTCTTTCTTTGTTATCCACGTTAATAGGGTGGACGTATAATGTATGTACGTACGGTACGTAAGTCGTAAAAACGATTTAGTCACAACCAAAATTTCTTGGATGCATAGATAACCAGATTTTGTTATCCATGTATCCATGGTACTCCGCTCCGCGCGCTTCTCGCGCGCGAGACCTCCGCTTTTAACAAACATCACTTCAAAGCCTGTCGTGGCAAAAAAATAAAGAGATAATAGAAAAACGATATCTGTATGACCTAGACAGGTTTGTTTTATATTATGCTCATGTATATCACCAAACATCATTTCAAAGCTTTTTTTGTCAAAATTGAAGTCAGGATCCTGATATAGTATATGAATAATCATCATTTCAAAGCCTATTTTGACACAAGCCCGGTGCATAAATTACCGCGAGTTTCGATACTGTTTTGCATATTACGAACGATTTAAAGACTTTGTATGAGAAATTAAATATAGTTGTTAAACCGTAGAAAGATAGGCATAAATGTAGAAA